AGACACATACACACAGACACACACATACACCCCCCTGACAGACACATACATACACACAAACATACATAAAGACACACACATACATACACACCGCCGGCAGACATACACACAGACACATACATACACACATATACAGAGACACAGACACATAGACAGACACACACATACAGACACATACACACACAGACACATACACACTTACAGACACATACATACACACAGAGACACAGATACAGAGACACACACACATACATACAGACACACATACATACAGACACACACATACATACACACCACCGGCAGACCCTGAGTGAATACATTTTCATTGCATATAATTATTCAAATTGAATTAAAATTGAAAATTGATCAAGCTTCCTTCTTGCAGTGTATTGAAATTTGTTATGATGGAACATCTTTTGGAAGCCCTTCCATACCATGTACAGTTCGATTTTTAATATTATGCCAAATACTGTCTAGTTCCATGCTGATACATCCCAATAAGGAGCACATAAATAGCTTTTGTATTACCGATATCAAAGATGTGCTACCTCGTTCTATGGTAATACACCCCAAATGGAGAACACATAACGGCATTATATTTTATCTATGTCAAAGGTATATTGATAATTAATATGATAAAACATCTTTAGGAATTAAATATGCAGATCAATTATGTTATATAAAATACTGTCTGGTTCTATGGTGATGTGCCCCGAAAGGGGATACATAAACGTGTGGTTATTCCGAAACCCACAGTCTTTGAGCACGGATTAATATACCTAATAATTAGGCAATTTAGAAAGATAATTCCAAAGTCAAAAGTGACTGACAGGCAATAGCCAAACATAAGGATTCTTAGCTTTTTAATATTCTATTAGATTAAATTGAATTTTCAATAAGCTTCCTAAATGAAAAGACCAAAAGAATATTCCAGATTGCTGTAATGAAGTAGCTTTCATGGAACGGCCAGTAGCTGGGCTGAATAGTGGTACCAATAGTTGGACTAATTGGTACTACCAGCAATGATTTCTTTGTACTATACACAATGAAAAAAGGAGAAAAACAAAAAACAGAGAAACCAAGGATAAAGATAGATAAGTCCTAAAGGTTCCCTGTGATTGCAATGCAACCCAAAGGGAAATAATTAAAAAATAACTTTTAATAAATTCCTTCTAAAAGTCAATACCTAAATAGATAGGTGAAAAGTAACATATAAATGATGATTAAATGAAAAATGGAGAGAGAGGAGAATAGAGTTAATGCAATAGCTAGGAAGCAGCAAAAGTAGAAAAAAATAGTAGCCTAGTGGATCCTAAAAACATCCAATAGTGTCTAGAGTATAACTAGCTGTGAAACCCTAATGTCATAAATGCTGACTCCTAACTCCCAGTAATCTTAGGCTGAAGTCATCTACCTAAGTTAAACAGAAAAACGAAACCTCAATGGAAGGTACTCAGAGGTTAAAATAGCTTAATATTAAACTAAAGAGAGGGTGGTCTATCCGGAGCATAATAGAAAGTCTAATTCTGGCTGCAGCATCGTCCCCACTAGATCTCGTTTCGCCACGATGGCTTTTCAAGGGAGCCGGACTGAACGCCGGCCAACATTTAAATATCCCGCCCTCCACTGTGACTGGTTAATGTTACCACCAATCACAGGTTAGGGGGCGGAGTCAAATGCCGGCACGGAAGATTAATTATAATGAAAAAATTAACTTATAAAGGGTCAAAGAAATAAGTAAACAATTGAAGTAAAGGGTAATTTCGGAAAAAGTACCTACTGAAATAGACTTATAAAAAGGAGAGAGAGAGGTATCCAACGCTGTTGCAATAAAGCAGGTCCGGATACACTTGTATCACTACATGAATGGTACATGATTTGTAAACAATCTGTACAGGAGAATTAGTTATTATGTAAACCGTGCTCTATCAGCTCACAACAAAGTCAAAACAGGCTTATATTAGTAAACCCTAAATGCAAGAGATATATGTGACCAAGAACATGTAGATCAATTGTATTCTTCAATAAGAGTGAAAGTAATAATAAAGGAATATAAAAAATATAAGAACATCGTGCACCAGACTAATAAGAGAAAAATCTATGAAAATAAATATGTCCATCACTGTTCCAACGTGACAGATCGAGAAACAGTCAGAACACTACATAAATAGTGCAAGAATAATTGGAAGGACTAAAAATAAAGGTATTCAGTGGGAAATGTATATAGGGAATAAAAAAATGATGACTGTGACAGCTATGAAGCATACTGGAAACAGGCTATGGACCCTGTTTGCAAAGAAGTATATATGAAACTGAAGGGGGGACTGTACAGACAGATCTAATCAAGTGTGGATGAATGGAGTGAAATTAAACTCCTCGTTCAACCCCTTGGGGTATAATGTTTGAAACAAATAAATCCAACGGGATTCAGCTTTCAGTAAGGCAATATTAATATCCCCTTTTCTGTGGTTAAGAAAGACCTTTTGGATTACTTGGAATTTAAGTACATTAGGTCTGGAGTCATGGTTTGTGCGTACATGTCTTGCAATCGGAGTGTCCAAATGTAAATTGGAAATTGAATTGATATGTTGCAAGACACGTCGACGTAATTGTTGATACGTCTTACCAATGTACTGTAATCCACATTCACATGTAATAATGTAAACAACGTTGGTAGAGCCACAGTTAACAAAGGAGTTCACCTCGATATCTTTGGCAGTTTTGTAATTCCGTACTTTCTTAGATGGTACAATGAAGTCACAGGCCTTACAGTGCCCACATCTGAAAAGACCCTTGGTCTGAAGCCAGGTAGATTTGCTTGGTATTGGTTTCAAATGACTTTGGGTCAGGAGGTCTGCAAGGTTCTTAGCTCTTCGATAGGTTACAGAAGGTTTTTTGGTAATGGTATTCTTAAGGCATTTATCATATTGGAGTAATGGCCAATTACGGTTAAATACCTGTAAGGTGTTATTCCAATTTTTGTCATAAGTCCCTATCAGTCTGGTGACCCCAGCAGTAGACTGAGTAGTCTTAGGGAGTTTGTGTAAGCTCTCAGATCTATCTACGGTTTTTGTTCTTTGGTAGGCTTTTTTGAGAATACGATTTGGGTATCCTAGACTCTTGAATCTCTGTCTGAGAATTTTCGCCTCTCTTTCAAAGTCTTCTGGGTTGGAACAGTTTCTTTTTACCCTAAGGTATTGGCCATAAGGTATGTTAGCCTTTGTGTGAAATGGGTGGAAACTGTCCCAATGCAACAGACTGTTAGTGGCGGTAGGTTTTCTATAAAGTGAAGTGGATACTAAGCCATCTTCCGACAGAGCAATTGTAAGATCCAAAAAGACTAGGTGACTCTCATGAATAACATGAGTAAGTTTGAGATTGATTTGATTAATGTTCAAAGCGTCAACCCAATCTTTAAATAATGAGAAAGAGCCTAACCAGAATATTAGCACATCGTCAATGTAGCGAAACCACTTGTAAATGGACGAGGTGTACATGGCATAGGGGCTGGTGAACACTATTGTTTCTTCCCACCATCCCAAAAATAGATTGGCATAGCTGGGTGCACACGAAGAGCCCATCGCAGTGCCCCGTAGTTGTAAATAGTATTTCCCGTTAAATGTAAAGTAATTATGTGTAAGTACAAACTGTAATAGGAGCAGGATAAACTCCTGTTCCTGTACGTTGAATGTTTTGGCTTTTTCCAAAAAATAGGCTACTGCTGTTAAACCCTTATCATGTGGAATGTTGTTGTACAATGCCACTACATCCAGACTTGCCAGGGATGTGTACGGGGGCACAGTAAGATGTTCCAAGACTAAGAGTGTCTGTTTAGAGTCCCATATATGTGATTTTAAGCCTATTACCAAGGGCTGAAGCAGCTTGTCCAAATACTGACTTGCTCTCTCAGTTAAGCAATGGTTACCCGAAACAATTGGTCTGCCCGGAGGGTTCTGAGGATCTTTATGTATTTTAGGGAGACAGTAAAAGGTGGCGATAGTGATATTGGACTGAGAGACAATAAACCTAAATTCATTTTGAGTAATCACATTATCTGTCAAGGCTTTTTGTGCTAATAATTGCAGTTCAGCCAAAAACTTTTTTGTGGGGTCTTCCTTCAATACCTGATAAGCCATTTCGTCCGTAAGGTGTTGCATACACATATTGACATATTGGTCTCTTTGCATGAGGACAATGTTACCTCCTTTATCGGATTGTTTAAAGACAACATCTGTTGCTAATCTAAGCTCATGTAAAGCCAGTTTTTCTCCTGCTTTGAGATTGGAAATTTGTGGTAGTGAAGGAATCTGGTTTTCTAATTCATTAGTACAGATCTGTACAAACAAGTCAATACAAGGAAATTCCTTCAGATTAGGGGTAAACCAGCTCGGAGGTTTAAAGTTAGTCAATGAATCAGATGTCCCCTGTTCGGAGTATAAATCCATAAGTGCATTGAAAAGTGCATTGTCCTCGGGTGAAAGGCCAAGATCTTTAAGTTTTTTTAAGATTGATCTTTTCATGTAAAGCATGTAAGGCCAATTTGCGGCAAAACAGATTCACGTCTTTGGCCCAGTCAAATTGATTACTTATGGGTGTAGGTATAAAAGAAAGACCCTTTTGGAGAAGTGATATGTGTCTTTGTTTTAGAATGAATTTGGAAAGGTTTATTATCTTGTTGTCCTGTGTTTGCACAGCTATTGGTAATTGGTTTTCTGTGTCTTGTATCCCCACTTGTTCCTGTCCCTTAGTCTTTCCCTTTGGGGTTGTGGCCAATCCTGATCTAAAAAAGTCAGGGATGATTGGGTAGAACCTGAGTTGGATTCGAGTCTAGAATTTGTAATAGCAGTTTGAACCACAGGGGGGTCCATAAAGGTTATATTCCTATCTGTATTTCTCAGGATACCTTTGGTTTGCCCTGACGTAGTGTGTTGAGTAAAACGGGTATTCTGCCTTTTTTGATATCGAGGTCTAGAATCTGATTCAGACCATTCGGTCTCATCTCATCTCATAAAGGAAAAACCTTTATTGTATGCTTTGTTGGCATTAAATCTCCTTTTGTTCTTATTTCTAAAGATATTTCCTTCCTGAAAATCCCTAAAATCCCTTTGAAATTTGTAATGTTTCTTCTGTCTAATACTTCTTTTAAAATTGTCTAAGTTCTTACTCAGCTTGCTCTCCATGGCTGGAAAACTAGGTTCTTTATCAAAAACCCTGATGTTCTTGATTTCAACATCTAATTCCCCATTGGTTTTATCCAAATGTTGTTGTTCCAATTGGATTAAAAACTGCATAATTTTGGCCGAACAATCTAAAAGGATAGAGTTCCATTCTGCTAGCTGTTCATCAGTCTTAACTTTGTCAGGTAGCAGAATGTCAGGTCTAAGGCCTCTGGGTACCAATTTTTGTTCGATATAGTGTCTTAAGCTGGCTAACTCCCAGAATCCCCTTAATTGTGTTTGGTATAGCTTTTGTATTGAAAAAAAAGCCTGATTGATATCCTTGGGTTCATTCTGTAAATTTCCCAAAGGTTTATTAGAAAAGACATTGTTCACGTCTTCTGATGAATAGTCTGGATGCACCACTTGTTCTAGGAGGTCTGTCATAATCACTTTACTTCAAATAGATTACCACCAAAATATGTACAATTAGAAATAATAAGTATTTAAAGTTAAACAGAAAAGATAGTATAAATATCCTGTCCTACAGATTGGTATTGAAACCTGATGCGAGAATTGAATTGAAACCAGAGGTAGGAACAGGAGTAAAATGTCGGGTTGCTTATGAAAAATGGGGGATAACCCCTAGAAATTAACTCAATGAAAAAAGGAGAAAAACAAAAAACAGAGAAACCAAGGATGAAGATAGATAAGTCCTAAAGGTTCCCTGTGATTGCAATGCAACCCAAAGGGAAATAATTAAAAAATAACTTTTAATAAATTCCTTCTAAAAGTCAATACCTAAATAGATAGGTGAAAAGTAACATATAAATGATGATTAAATGAAAAATGGAGATTTTCCGAAATTACCCTTTACTTCAATTGTTTACTTATTTCTTTGACCCTTTATAAGTTAATTTTTTCATTATAATTAATTTTCCGTGCCGGTTTCCCCGGCGATCACGGGTAAACCGGCTTCGGCATTTGACTCCGCCCCCTAACCTGTGATTGGTGGTAACATTAACCAGTCACAGTGGAGGGCGGGATATTTAAATGTTGGCCGGCGTTCAGTCCGGCTCTCTTGAAAAGCCCTCGTGGCGAAACGCGCGTCGGGACTTTTTATGAGCTGGTGGTTAGAGATCTAGTGGGGACGATGCTGCAGCCAGAATTAGACTTTCTATTATGCTCCGGATAGACCACCCTCTCTTTAGTTTAATATTAAGCTATTTTAACCTCTGAGTACCTTCCATTGAGGTTTCGTTTTTCTGTTTAACTTAGGTAGATGACTTCAGCCTAAGATTACTGGGAGTTAGGAGTCAGTATTTACGACATTAGGGTTTCATAGCTAGTTATACTCTAGACACTATTGGATGTTTTTAGGATCCACTAGGCTACTATTTTTTCTACTTTTGCTACTACCTAGCTATTGCATTAACTCTATTCTCCTCTCTCTCCATTTTTCATTTAATCATCATTTATATGTTACTTTTCACCTATCTATTTAGGTATTGACTTTTAGAAGGAATTTATTAAAAGTTATTTTTTAATTATTTCCCTTTGGGTTGCATTGCAATCACAGGGAACCTTTAGGACTTATCTATCTTTATCCTTGGTTTCTCTGTTTTTTGTTTTTCTCCTTTTTTCATTGAGTTAATTTCTAGGGGTTATCCCCCATTTTTCATAAGCAACCCGACATTTTACTCCTGTTCCTACCTCTGGTTTCAATTCATCTCTTTGTACTATACAAACTTAAAGCAAATATTATGAGCAAAACTATAAATCGGGTTCCATAATTTATATTGGCATGGTGATCATATGATGAGCCATATGGCTCTATTTATAATGCTTGGATGACTCTTATTCTAGAGCATACAACCAATTTTATGGGTGGTAGTTTAGATGCCCTAACTGGACTATTGTAGAGAAGAATCTCAAACAGCCTTTTAAGGATGGATAAACGGAGTGAAACTAAACTCCTTGTTTAATCCTTTGGGATATAAGGTCTTAAACTGATAGATCCAACCTGATTCTGCCCTTAACAATGTTATATTAATATCTCCCTTGCGATGATTTAAATAAATTTTAATACACCTGGTTCAGCCGCATGGTTTTGTCGTACAGGTCTAGAAACCGGAGTGTCAATGTTTGGATTTGTTACAGAATTTATATGAATTGTGAACCACAGACGCATTTTATAAGATAAATTACGTTGGTAGAACTACAGTTGATGAAAGCATTGATAGTGACCTCCCTGGAAGTTTGTATGCTAACAACCGATTTTGTAGGAAGGATAAAATCACAAGCTTTACAGTGTCCACACTTATAGATTCCTTTCGTGGGTTGAAGCCATGTGGACACTGATTGTGTGGGTTCCAAGTGGCTGTAAGTTAAATGATCTGCCAGGTTTTTTGCCCTCCTAAAGGTCATTGAGGGTTGAGTTGCAATAGTATTTTTTAGAAATGAATCATATTGCAATTCTGTCCAGTTCCTTCGAAAAACCTCTTGGGCCTTATTCCAATCTTTATTGTAAGTGTCTATAAATCTAGTCATTCCAGGAGAAGTGGGGGTAGTCCTGGGAGGTCTATGTAGACTTTTATATCTATCTACCGCTTTGGTTCGCTGATAGGCTCTTTTAAGTATCTTATTCAGATAGCCAAGTTTTTTTAAATCTGTTTTTGAGTTCTTTGGCTTTATTTTCAAAATCCGCAGGGTTAGAACAGTTTCTCTTTCCTCTCAGGTATTGGCCATATGGAAGATCCAAACGCCGGCCCTACTGTATTCCATGACGGGCCGGTGGGTAGATCAAAGAGGGGAGGATCCTGCAGAGCTCTATCTTGGAGCTCCGCAAGGTTATTCTCGCAAGATCTGGAGCATTGCCATGGCAACACCCCCGATCTCGTGAGAGTGAACTCTAGCCCAACCTGCACTCAACACTAGCACCACCAGGGATGGCAGCACAGTCCCCCCTCCCAGGCTACAGGTAAGAAGGGAGGGGAGATATAATGCCTCACACACATCACTCACACACACATCACTCTCTCACACACAGCACCCTCACATACGCACATCTCTCACACACATCTTCCTCTCACACACACACACACACACACTTCACCCCAAACACTCACAGCACCCTCTCACACACACATTAGACACACACACAGACACACACATTTCACCCCTCACACTCACAGCATCCATCACACACACTGCACCCCTCTCACACATACACTTTACCCCTCACACACACACTACACCCCTCTCACACACACACTGCACCCTTCACACACCCACTGCACCCTTCACTCACAAACACTGCACCCCTCACACATACACATAGAACCCCCCAACACACTGCACCACTCACACACACACAGACACACATACAATACTTCCAAACACACACACACACATATATATATATATACTACAGCACCCTTCACAGAAACACTGCACCCCTCACACACATACTGACTTCCCCTATACACACTCTCTACAGCCCCTAGCCACACATGCATTACATTACACCACACACACAACACAACTAAAACCAACCTTATTACACAATACCACACCACAATCAGCTCACTCTACGCACACCCAATCCCACAAGCAGGCTCCAAACACATGCACAATACTCTTTCCTGGCCCTTTTGTCTCCTGGTATCCCATTTATAGAGACACAAGAGACCAGTTGCAAGGAAACACAGTGCAAGCATGTTCTTAAATTTGCTTTCACTGTGCAGAACAAATACAAGGCTTTTTTCTCATGCTAGAGCTTTTCAGCAGAGCTCTGCGCATGGTCTGCACCTGAACCAACATGCTCACTTTGAGAGGGGGCGTGTTTGTCATTGGTGATGACAAAACACACCCTCTCTGCCCCACCCTCTTCTTAGTGGGCCGCTGTGATTAAAAAATGCCCGGGTTGAATTTTTTCCCAGTCTGGCCCTGGTTACTCAGCAACCAGCTCTGCACAGAGGTCCTACAAAGGTGCCTTTCTCCTCTGCATTTGTGGCTTTGGGGAAATTAATGTACCTTTGGGCTCTGACTGTGAGTCTTGGGAAAACCTCTGTCAGACATTGGAGAAACTTTTATTTTACAATGTATTGAATTTTCTCTAATTTATTTGTTCTGGTTCATCAGAAGTATTGAGCAACATCAGGAATATGACAAGCTACATGAATCTGTGCATGACACCATGAACTATGAATCTGTACATAACACTAATACATCCAACATCTGGACCCCAGATCACAGTACATCACAAATAAATTACAGTACACTTGCAGGGTACAATATACAGTGAAAACATTCCAACAATTGCACATGTGATGATTGGAACATTTGAATTACATACCGTGTAAAATAAATTCAGACATTATTTTACTGGAATGAAATGTAATTTGCATACACACTGTAGAGCTGATGAGAAATTATTGATACTCAGCAGGAAACAAAGCAGAATTGACTTACATCATGGAACCAACGGGTAGGGAATGAATATAAACAATAGACTTAGAACATAATACAATGTTTTTACAATTATTTGTACATTTTTAGATATTTGTAGAATAGGTAACGGTTCTCTTTTTCATTTTGTTGTGCTATTTGGTGCCCCATAATTTTTAATATTAAAAGAAAACAATATGGATGCTGTTTCAACACAGGTCAAAGGAACTTTGTATTTTGTAACCTTAAGAAGTAAACAGGAGGAATACTTATCTACAGTTTAATTTGTGAGCTATCTGTGTACAAGGGTAACAAGAACAATGGTTTAATACATAATGGGACTTTAAAATCAGTGGATACTTAAACTCACAGAGCTTAAAAGGGGAATACAAACTATGCAATTGTTTGTGCATAAACATCACAGGCAATCCAGAGTGTTTGTCAGCCATAGGAACCCAAAGTCTGAGGTCGCTTCCATATTTTCAGGATATTAGAACTTAAATGAATCTATTGGAATCATGCATAATATACAAATGTAAACTAAATGTGTGATTGCTAAGGTAATGTCATTAACTGCATCCTTGACTGACTTAGGGGTAAAAGGTAATATAGACATACTAATACAATTAGATTCTATTTTTCTTTGTAAAGATGAATGTATCAATCAGTTAATCATACAGGTTAGATTGATACAGGATATAGACATATTGCATGATTAATATAACCAACCCTGTTTCAACCCTGTTACAGACCAGAGCACCCAGAGAGGAGAATCCCAAATTGAATTCCTTCATCCTAGACTCTTGGTAATGTATAAAGGTTTCTCTTGACTTTATATTAAATAAACGGGACTATTGAATGCCCTATGTGTCTATATTGTGAACTGATCCCTATAGATAGAACAGTTATATCTCATTCTACCTGCAGCCCGAGTCAGATATAACTTCCTAAGTCGGAACATTCTTGATTCCTTCTTTAGACGTAGATCAGTTCAATAA